CACGAATGAGATCGAGCATACTAATAAATGATGTGGGTGTTCTTAGCTGAAATTCACTAATAGTTGTTTGAATTCGACTGTCTAACAAGTTTGATGCTATGAGTTGAGCATTGATAAAATCAGTTGAAACTAATTGTGAAACAGAATCATTCACGGTTTTTTGAGACAGTCAACAGAGCGAAGACAGTAATTGAAACTGACCAGTGGCTTTTGCTCGAAAATCGGTGTGCATCTTCATTCAGCATCTGATTAGACAAGCAGAAATCAGAAAAGAAATTTCATTGATTGGATAAGATTTCTTGACAAATCTGATTCGCCACGACTTATCAATGAAGAAAGCTACTGGTAGCCCCTAATAAAACCTTGCAGTCTGATTGACCTTTCATTTTTTTAGTGTATCGTTTTGTTATGAACTATTTTGTAATTCATTCACGTCAATCAGCCGTTATGCCAGAATTACACGGCTTGGCGTGCTTCATCTTAGTTTCATCTGAGTCCTGCATGAGTCTCTAGTCCACTTTATGCCCACTCTACTCTCTAAAAAAATAGGCTTATTACCAAACCTAAAAGGGTATATGAGTGATGATCATCAGTCGACTGATTATAAATGTCCGCGAACTGGAGCGTATCGTAAACAACTATTGGTGGAATTAAGAAAACGAGCTGATTTATTGCCTCCTCATATTCAGTTGTTCATACCCTCGGAGTGTCGACGTCAGGATGAAATGAAAGCAAAAGCTCTGTTTAATCCAACACGGATCAACAATTTTCAACAACATCATTCTCAACAGCAGATTATTTTTAAAAGAAACGATTATAATACGTGGCCACTGATAAGGTCGAATCAAACAAAAACACTTGGTTCAATAGAATCAAATGAATCGATTTGGGATGTAATAAAACATTTACAAAGTGACTTCGAAAAAATGAAATTGGAACACGAAAGGAAAGAAAATGAGATGAAGATAAAACACATTCATCAAATGAACAGATATAAAGCCCGGATGGTTTTGAATAATATTCGAACGAAAACTCAGGATGAACTGATTAAGAATGTATACACGGTTGTTGAAGAAACTTTACCAGCAGTCAAGACAACTCTACAAATAGTGAGATTCATCGCATCGAAACCTACACCACTGGTCACAGAATTAGATGAACAAGAAAACATGTTTGAACTAATGGAAACAACAATCGCTCATTTAACTGAACGTTCTGAAATGCTATCGACATATCAGAATACATTCTTGGTTCAATACGTTAAACAAGAGCAAGTAATTACCGAAAGTATGAAAAAGTTTTTCGTTGACAATGAATACTGAGAATTTTCGCTATTGTGAGAGAAGAGTCAACATGGAACTATGTATGTCTATGTATGTATAAATAGTTATGATAGTTCCACTAAAGTATTTTTCGAAACATTATTTCCGTTTGTCTTATCACTGCAAAAACTTGCTGTTTCAAACGATAATCAACGATATTCACAGCCATACATCTCAAAAACTAAAAGGGATCCTTTTCTAAAAAATAGATTAGTATCGTGTATAACTTGTGTATTTTAAACTAGTAGAAGAAATGGGAATGGGACTTTTCTAATTAATGTAATTTTAGTTCGCGAAGTTGGCTACGACGAATACGAAATAAGTTTACAGTGAGCACTTTCCTCTTTGAATATATGTTATAGCGAAAACTCAAATTCAGCCAGAATTTGAAATTTGGCTATCTATATATATAAAGAAGAAAGTTTGTTTGTTTGTATGTTTGTTTGTATGTTTGTTTATTTGTTCTCTATGCATTCAGTCCCTGTAAGAGCAAAAGCAGCCAAAATTTGCATGGCACACCCTTGGGTCCAGAGGAAGGTCAAGAGGGGGTCGGCGAGACCGAAGGAGGGGGGGAGAGTTCCCGCCCAGTTTTCAAAAAATGGCTGAAAGATTTTCGGATTTTTATGTTCTCCGATTTCTGAGGTACTTGCATCTTGCTTTTATATCTTCGCACTGCCCTTGGTCAAGGGCTACTTTTCAATATAAAACTTTTATCTCTGGGATACTTAGT